GCCTAACTTGCATGTTCTCTCCGTGCGTGCGTGGGTTTTCTCCGGGTGCTCCGGTTTCTTCCCACAGACCAAAAACATGCATGTTAGGCTGATTGGTAACTCTAAATTGTCCCTATAGGTGTGAGTGAGAGAGTGAATGGTTGTTTGTCTCGTGTGTCTCTATGTGGCCCTGTGATGGACTTGCGACCCGTCCAGGGTGTACCCCGCCCCTCGCACAGTGATTGCTGGACATGGGCACCGGCGACCCCCATGACCCAAAATGGAATAAACGGGTAAAGAAAATGGATGGATGGATGGATAATTAACACTAAACTGTAAAATGTCACCAAAAGTACTTCAAATGTTCACAGAAGGCCTCCTTAACACAGGCCACTTTGTGTTTCTGGGTAAATATCCAAATATTTTCATACAAATCACATTTTCTTTTGATAAATTTGATATAAAAAAAAAAAGTTAAACCATCAGCTCAGTCTTTTTTGGGGGGGCGGCTGTGGCTGAGTGGTTAGAGCAGTCGTCCTCCAATGCGAGAGTTGGGGGTTCGAATCCACCAGCAGTCACATGCCGAAGTGTCCCTGGGCAAGACACTGAACCCCTCATAGCCTCTGATGTGTGTCCCATGATCAGTGTTTGAATGTGAGTTAAAGCACTGATTAGTCTCATTAGAATGATTTGTTCAGTTAGCTTTGTAGAGATGTAGAGTGCTGTATGGATGGGTAAATGAGGGCACAGGTTGTAGTGTAAAGCGCTTTGAGTGTCTTAAGATAGAAAGACGCTATATAAGTACAGACCATTTATCATTTTTTTATTACTTGAACTGTTTCAGCTCCTAAAAATCAGGTTTTGAACTAAAGGTGAAGCAGTTCTCTGCAGCTCCAGAAGACAGAGGGACATTTAAGGGACATTTGAGAGACTGGAGGCCCCGTGGTGCTGTGTAGGTTATCCGTGAATCAAGAGATCCAGAGGAGAAAACTGGAGTCCGGTGAGATCAAACAGGCACATTTTTATAAAAATGTAAAGAAAAGAAACCAAAACATGTCCGCTGCTGAGACGCACTGACAAACTCCAGAAGATGCAGGAATGGACGGAGAAGATCCAAAACCTGCAGCCCCCCAGGTCCTATAGAGGTTTTCACCTTCAGTCAGGACGAGACACGTTCGAGTGTTCATCTTGTTTGGACCAATTAAACAATGCCACTATTTTCTGAAAATAAACAATAGGATTTTGGTGATTTTATTTAGAAGAATTTAAATCATCATCTGCAAGTTAAGAAACTAAAAGTCCTCTTTTTTATTATTATTTAAGTGTTAAAGGGATCTCCAACTACCTGCACATATTGGCCTTAAAGTTTCTCTATCCTACTAAAAGTTGTCAGTGACATGCGAAAACTCCTAATCATTTAAAAATATATATGTTTCTTAAATTTTTCACCTAAGAATGTCACCGTTATTTTACCAGCACAATGCATTCTGGAGCGATGTTGTACAACGGTTGTACTACAACACAAGGAGTCGAGGCTAAAAAGTTACATGACAATAAAGTTATATTTTGTATTAATCCTTATGCACAATATATCGGATGAAACGATCAAACATGGTCAACTTAGCTTAGCGCTGGAGCTAATGCCATATTAAGTATTAGCTCTACAGCTAACACTATTAGCTCAGGAGCTACATTATTAGTTCAAGAGCTAACAGTGTTATGTCTTGAACTAATACTATTGATTATTAGAATCTGTTCTCCTCTCTGTCAACTATTATAATATTATTATATAAATATTAATATATTCTTTTAAGGCAGTGAAATGAGGGCAAACGAACAAACTAGGCCCAACAAACATTAAAGGAGCTAAACTAACACTAAAATCAGTCCAGCTGCTCATGTTTACAATCAAATATTACTAAAATACTATTAAATATATGCAGCTGTGGGAGTACGAGTTAAAAACTATTTAATGTACAGAAAGGAAGGCAACACAGACAAAGGCCTAATACTAACCTCGTTTATTAACACCGAGATAAACCAGAGCAAACAGTGGTAAAATAGAAACAGACAAAAATAAAAACAGCAAAAAACACTTACGATTTACCTAAAAACAACCCATACTACATAGAAGTAGTATGATATATTTAATGAGCCTTCAGGTGGCTTAAAGAAAAATAAAAAAATAGCAAATAAAACAACTGTCAGTAGCAACAAAGCCAAATCTGTCGAGAGTAAAAATATTAAAATTATTGTATTTTTCAAATTTGGTTTCCTCTACTGAACATGCTTTTAGATTTGCAAAGGCTCAAAATTAAGTAAAATTTTAATCAACCAAAGAGCGGTGGTAGAGCGGCAGCGTTTTGGTGACCGGTCAGTTTTTTTAAGAGATAGATGTTAAAACGTTTTCCTGTGCAGAAAAGGATCCAGACGGGCCTCGGTGCTCAGAATAAAGCTTTTCGTTATACTGCTATGGTTCCGACTCGACGACTGAATCATTCCTGCAGGCAAACGTTGAACAAACATAAATAAAAACGGACCTCCTGGGTTCTGACCCGCCTGAGCGTCTTCAGACTTCAGAGCAGTTTGAGTCCACAGGTTAAAGGCCTGTCAGCCTATAAGTTAGACTTAAATACGTGGCGATGAAGACGGACACCGACGTGTCTCACACAGCAGCAGGAGAAACAACCGGTGGAGATTCAAGAGCAGGCGCCGCCGCTTGGTGCCCCCGGGTCGTCCTCCCGTTTCTGTCGTTTCTTCGCTCTGATTTCGTTCATCGCCTCCTCGATGGAGCGAGTGTCCCGTTTGTTGGCCACCGGCACTGAGGACCCAGAGTTCCCAACAGCATGAGTGAAAGAACGTTTCAGGGGTGACGCACTTCAGCATTTACGCGGCGAGGAACTCACCACAGCCGTACGTCCTGTTAGCCTCAAGCGTGTGAGCGGCGTCTTTAGCGGCCGAAGTGCCGATCAGGTGGCTGTACTTGTCTCTGTAGTTGGAGTTGGGACATGCTTGTGTCTTTTCTGTCTGAGGAGAAGCAGCTTCTTCCAGCACAGCCTGTTCCTGCAGACGACAGAAAAAAATTAACTAACGAGCTGCTTCGATGCCGCGAGACAACTTCTGTTGAGACGTGGCGCTGTATAATTAAACTGAATTGAAACTTTATTGGCGATATGGCAACAAAAAATGTATTCTAGGAGTTGAATGGTACTGAAATCTTCAAAAATTATATTTAGACCATCTTTTTATGTCTTAAAATCACAGAATCAGGACAACGAAGGAAAATAAAGACGGAAAAATGGAATGGCTCCAAAAGCTGGAAATACAGTAGCGAGCCCTCGGGGCCTTCAGAGAAGGCGTAAGAATTCAAAACATATGAAATGTTACATCCATCCATCATCTTTTACCCGCTTCTTCATTTTCGGGTCACGGGGGTCACTGGTGTCCATATCCAGCCATTACTGTGTGACAGGCAGGCTGTTACATTAAAATTGTATTTATTTTATATAATACATATATTTTTCTATGCCGATTTTTTTTTGCTAATTTTTAAATTTTCTATAAACTACTTTGCAGTGAGCAAGAAACTTTTTAATTCATGAAAATCCAGTTATCCAATCCGTTTCTTTTCAGTTTTAGTCTCCAGGCAGAAACATGTTTGAAGCTTCCCTCACATTGGTCAGGACTTCACCGTCGGGAGAGAAGGCTCAGCTCAGTCAGTCTCTACAGCAGACGTGGGTAACGTACAACCTGAGGGATAAAAGTGGCCCTTGGACAATCTTCATCCAGACCCCAAAACTCTTCATTGAAAAGAAAACAACTTTTTAAAAAGTTGATGCAAACATTTAAGAATGAAACTTAAAGACATTTCAACTAAACATCTTGTATCAATACATAAAACCCTTTAGAATAAGGCCATTTTTAAGATGTTATGTAGAACTAGACTCCAAAACTCAAATATATAACTTTTTTACCCATATAGGCTTATATATTGTCACAAGAGCTGTTTACAGAAAGTATGTCTTATTTTTCTACATTGTTTTTGGGAGACATATTTTTATTGAGCATGCCAACTAACTATGCTACAACAAGAAAAAGCCTGAAAAACTTATAATAAAATGTATTTTACAATTCTCTAAGAGGCCTTTATATTGCTTTAAATATTTTGATGTGGCATTTTGGAACAAATAGTTGCCCACCTCTGCTCTACAGAATGAGTTTGTTTAATAACTGACAGGACATTTAACCAATCACAATGCTGATGTAGAGTGGGTGGGGCCCAAAAACACAGGACTCAGCCTTCAGGAAGGCCCTGCAAGGTAAATTATATTTGATAATGTGAATTTATGTGACACATTCAATGGCAACCTGTAAATTAAAAAAAAACAAAAAAACAATCCACACAGAAATTGTAGTAGTTCCAATATATGAAAGTTAAACATTCTATTTACGTTTACATTGATAATTCTCAATACTAGTTGTATTTTGATTTCATTACCGGTATATTAAATTTTATATATCAGTAAGTTCTGTGGGTTACTATCAAATATCAGTCTGAACTATTGAAATCACATGTACTTGAACACAAGAGGCTGGATGAGCCGCATGGCCTTCTGGGCACTCTTGGGACAGAAATGGGTGCACGTACTCAGGTTGTGTGTTCAGGTGGGTTGTCCCTGTTGGTTGCTTTTATGCAGTAACAACCTGTCTTAGGAGAACAGCATTTATGAAAAATGTCTGTCTGGATTTAGATCTTGTCGTTAAACATAATCAGTCAATAGATGCTCCTGTTGCTTTAGTTCTGCAGGACCTTACAACTGCTTTTGATCATCTTTAACATTATGTTGGAATCACTGTTTCCACTCTCAAGGGGTTCACCTCCTACCGGACCAACAAAACTGTCTCTGTCCTGATGGGCAATCCATGTTCCTCTACTGCCCTTCTTTCGTGTGGTGTACCGCAGGGCTTTAGTCTCAGTCCACTTCTTTTTTTTCTCTTTATATGCTATCACTTAAGAGCCAAACACCACTTTTCTTTTCACTGCTATGCAGAGGACCTACAGATTTACAAAATTTACCTATGAAGCATAGAAGTAGTAACCTTCACACATCTTTTATTGATTGTATTACTGACATCAGTGGCTTCACCAAAATTTTCTGTTTTTAAATGAAGGAAAGAACGAGTGTACCTTTTTTTTTTTTGATGATAATGCTCCTTATAAATTTAGTGTTCTGACATCAGAGTTCAGACTCACAGTTAAAGATTTGGTGGTGACCGTTGACAAGAATCTGAAGTTTGATAAGCATATAGCGTCTGTAATCAAGGCCATATTTTATCAGCTATGTCTTTAAACCAAAGCTGGGACTTTTTTTTGTTTTAAATCATCCTGACATGAAAAAGGCATATCAACAATATTGTAATTTACTGCTGTGGTGCCACTCCTGCTCGGTCTTTTGGTTATTTGCCGTCTGCCTTTGATAATGTGCAGTCACGGCTGCTTGAACTCCGACTTGTCCTGAATGCCACAAAACTAAAATTATGCAATTTTCTACTGCTAATAAGAAATTAGATTATTATCCTAATATCAACACTCTGCAAGGTACTCAAATAGAAACAGTGAGTCAGCAAAAGTATTTGGGTATTCTAATGATCCAAGTAAACCTCATATTGAAACCTAGTCAAGAAGTTCAATCTGTGACTGATGAAGTCTTTTGGATTAAAGACGAAAGTTTCAACAAGTTTATTTTTATTTAATCCATCCAGAGGACCTGACTTAACTGTTAAGATTTTCTACCTGGACTACCGAGCATGCATCAGGACCTTTTACTGACGGATCACAAGGTTCATTCAAAACTTGGCAAATGGGCTTTTGTGTTTTCTGCTCCTGCAGCATGGAATCACCCCTAAATGAAATTAAAGCTTCGAGTTGATCTCAATCAGTGCTTTTAAAAAGAAGGTGAAGTCTTTGGAAGGAGACTTGATTGGAGTTCATCACTGCTTCACTTCTGATAGAAAAATTATATACATCATGTGCTTTCTCCTTTTGTTGTGTTTTTCTACTGTTAAACTTTTTAAGTCTACAAGTGTTTGCAAGAAAGACAACACAAAGTCACAGGATTTGTCTGTTCCTTTCCTGACTTTTCAACAACTTAAACAAAATATACTTTTCAGCAGATGAGCCAAACTGTGCGAGAGGAGAATGCGGAAATGGTGGCTCAGGGGGGGTGATCCTCATTCTTTAGTGCTGGGAGTGTTTCAATAATTGTCTTTGCACTGATGGTACTGAGAGAATGATATTTGTGTTGAGTTAAAGGGTGTTGTCCATTTTGGATGTAAAGACCACAACGCTCTCCTTGCAAGTATGTTTAATTCATTTTTGTTAAACTTCAATCCTGGACACGAGAGTAGTTATTTCATATAATTTTAACGTCTATTTAGCCTAATATGCTGCTCATGTCTGTTTATTTTATTGACTTTTATGGTTTTTAGGTGGTTTGCATGTTTCTGGAACCGGTGCCTTCTTGGCCAAGGCTCTCTTGAAAAAGAGATTGTGTAATCTCAACAGGACTCACCTGGTTAAATAAAGGTTGGCTTAATACAAACTATAAAAGTGTACTTTTAATGCAAAGACAAAGTTTTACTTTTAGTCTGCGTCGCTGTTCTGCCACTTTGGGATCCCACTTTTCTCCTTTGCGATAAGCTTCCAGCTCTTCGTCTGACGGAGCGAACTCCTGCCGTAACACAAGGATAGCACTAGTTTCAGTCTATGGCATTTTTCTGCTTGTTGTTGGGCTAAAAACAAAGCACTAATACCTTTTTAAACAACATAACATAGCGGCTCTCCTCATCCTCCCCAAAAGAGAATGAAGTCAGACCGGCCACTTCTGCAACGTCATGTCTGTAAGGACAGGCCAGAGTGAGATTAAACCACAATGTGGAGAAAAGACCCAGTTTACTGAAAGGAAGTCATTGCTGCTTACAAAATACTTCGTTCAATCTTTCCCATTGGATTGTATTTTCGTTTTTGCTGTGAACTGTCCTGGATGAAGTCGGACACCTCCTTCTCCATCTGGACGGGACAGAGATAAACACCAAGTCTTTAAAAGGACAAAGGTGTTAATCCTGAACAGATTATCTGTAACCTCTCACCTTCTTCCTAAACTCTGCTTTCTTTCTTTTCTCCAACTCTTCCATTTTCTTAAATCTTGCAGCTTGTTCTTTAAGGAACAAAAGAACATTTTTATTAACATATTTTTTCATGGTTCCACAGTAAACAGGACTTTAGGTCTTCTTAGCCTGTTTCAAACTTTTATTAATCCTGAGAAAACCTTTCACATGAAAGGTCCAAGCCTCAAATAAAAAATGTATAGCAACCAAATAGTTTTTAATATTTTATTAGTATACATACCTTTACAGTCATTTTAAACTCAGCATAAACTTTTTTTTAATGAAAGGACACAAATACAGTAATTTTGATGCAAAAGGAGTTCTAAAAGCCTCGCTGACAATTATTTACTCTTTGTTTTTGAAAGCATTAATTTCCTTTGATTCTTCGGGTCGATTATTTTCCATTTTCTTACGCTCTGAAAGTACATTTTAGTTTATTTTCACGAACAAAAGTGTTACAAGTCACTTTCTTAAGAACAAGTGCTAAAAAGGGGGTTGTGTGGCTCAGCTGTAGATCCTTGGACTGGAAATTTTGGTTGCTAGTCATGTCAGGTTTATTTATATAGCACATTTAAAACAGGAACCGTTACCAAAGTGTTTAGCAGCAACAAAAAAAAAAGTTTATTTCATTTACGTTTTATAGTTAAATCTAACAGTTATATTAAAAATATCACAATTTGTAAAAAAGGTCAATCTACATCAGCTCCTTATAGCAGTCTGAAGTTGCAGTCACGGACCGCTCGACATCCCTCAAGCGGCCACAAAGGCCCCACGAGCCTCACTTTGGACGTGACGTAAGAAAAACGAAACCTAGCTGTGCTGTCTGTTAACTGCTGCCGATATGTTTGTGTACCAGGAGCCTCCTGTGGTTCCGTGGCAGGTTTTGAAAATCCATGTAGGGACAGGACGTTTCACTGAGGTGGTACCAAAGCCGTACGTGAGAGCTACCGGCCAATGTCTGCTCGTCCTTATTAATGTAGGTTACCTTCGTTTAAAACCCAGAATAACGTTCACTTTTAACGGAACCATGTAAACGTAAAGCGAGCCTTTATTTACGCAAGATGTTCGGTACCTCGTGCCTTTCGTCGGCTTTCTTGGTCGCCGACAGTTGGAGGTTTCTCCATCGAATTTAAGATAGAACCCAGAAGGTCTGCCATCTTGAAAAGATAGCTAGACCTTACAGGTTTGCGCATGCGCAGGCGCGTTCTTCTTCTTCTTCTTCTTTTTGCCTTTATTAGCGGTTTGCAGAACCCCGAAGAAGTGCATTACTGCCACTATGCGGTGTGGAGTGGGACTATCAGTATATTTTTTTGGTTTTTAAGGACATAAGTTTGAGCGCAGTACTGTTTTTGAAGAAATTCTTGTAAAAAATAAACAAACTAAAGCCAAAATATAAAATAATGGCTCAAAGTTCTACCAAAGTAAAGATTTCTGGCACAAACTCTTGGGAATCCTGGCCGATGCACATCTCTCTTTTAAGCCGCATGTCGAAAAATTAAAGAAACTGAAAGTAGCATTGGGTTTCTTTTCCAGAAATAGATCTTGCTTAACTCTGAATGCTAGGAAACATCTTGTACTTTCCTTGCGGCCATACGGTGACATTATTTATATGAACGCGCCTGCAAACATCTTGCAGATGTTGGATGCTGTATACCATGGCGCACTGATTCTGTTTTTAGTATTTTACCTTCAAAAATGTTCAATACAAAAACAACTGGACTTTATTTGTAACAGAAGACGTTTCGCTTCTCAACCGAGGAGTTTTCTCAATTCAAAGAGCAGTGAGTGAGCGGTTCAGGTTATAAGGCTGAGATAAGATACACATATGTAGATTGACAAATCACACATCACACCTTAACATTAGGGGCTTCGTAAGGTCTTTGTTACTCGAATTCACAGATGAGGCCCCTCTGTTCCCATCAGGTGTGAAAACTGGCTGGGAATCAAGCTGCATTATACGTTTTTGAAAGTGGAAATCTGAGGCCTCCTCCTCCTCTGCTAAGAGACGGTTTTTCTCTTTTAACATTAATTGCTTCCTTCACCCCCCTCTCAAACCGTCTGTGTTAACTTAACAACATAGCAAAACTTTGTAATACAGAGAATAAGAATCAGCTTTTAGTCTTTTAGAAAAGGGCCTTTTTAATTATAATTTTTGATATTTGAATATATTTTGACCTCGCAATGAAAAGCAGTAAAACACGGTTTCCTTCCAGAGCTTTTCTTATGAAACAATGAAAGATATTTTAACATTAATAGTAGAATTTTATAAGGAAATCAGATGTGTACAGTTTCCCAAGAAGCCAAACAACTCGTTCTCCCACAAAAATGTTTTTAATGTTATTGTGGATGAAGACGCAAATGAAGGGATGGGCATTACCAAAACTTTCAGATTCACAAAAACTACAGTTAATATCAATACAGTATCCTTCTTGACTCTAGTTTTAATATTTGTCTTAGCTGGATAGATTCTATGGATAATTTTTATAAGAACACTTCTTTAACTTTACTGTATTTGTAATATGTTCAGTAGAGACCCCCTTCCATGGTATCCCACCCACAAACTTACCCACTGTGAGGTAAGTAAATAAGCTTATCTTGTCACTGGGCTTAAAATGGGTGTTTAAAATATGTAATGTCTAAAATAACTTCAGAATGTTTGAAGAACTGATCATTAAGACTAAACATATAAATCAAGGATGACTTGATCGTCAAGGCTGATGAGTTTTGCACAAACCCATGTATTTAAAAGTATGCAAAGATTTTAGAAAACTTTACTTTTCTTATTTTGCTGGAATCTGAAAATGTAAAGACTTTAATCATCCTCCAACATGAATTTCACAAAAATAAATAAATAGATAAAATAAAAGTGGGTGGATATATATAGTGCAATAAAATAGAACAAACAATAGACATAATATTAAATTATTCTTGGGGCTCGATCACCACCATGTCCATCCTTTTTTTTCTTTTAAGTTTCAGTTTCTCTGTTTTTGTCATGACCTTGATTTTCCCTGTAAGTTCAAGCGATCGTCTGCGCTCGCGTGCGTCGAAACCTGTGTTTGACGCAGACGGACGTTCTGGCTGCATCTCTGCAGATCTTCTCTGTCGCGCCAAACATTTCAAAAATGCTTTTGGTTGAGCACGATCCAACAGCTACACATTTTGATGGAAGCACCAGGGGACGTGCTGCACGCGAGCGTGCGTTCATACCTTTTTATTGTTTTGTTAACAATCCTCCTGCGCGTCACTTGTTTTGTGGTTGTCGTTTCACAGCATCAGCAACAACACATGCACGACTGCCACATTCAGATGTGGACGAGCAGGAGGACGGCTCCAAAGCACAACAAGACACAAACAAGACCTCGTCTGCAATTACAGCCTCTGCCTTTTTATTTTTAACACGCTGTGGGGGTGTGCAGTAGGTAAGTCCCAGACTAATGTTCTTTTATTTAAATACACGTTAGCTCTGATGAAGAATGTGGAGACGTTTTAAAAGGCTGTAGCTGTTGGCTGACTCAGAAAGCTCACAGACCTGACCTCCACCCCTCAGACCCCCCACTTTTTAAACTTTTGCTTTGTGACAGACCACGGTGAACTCCTCCCACCGGGCTTGAAATGCTGTATAAATGCAGCATCTTTGTATCAGCGCCAGAGTCTGAACCCCAAACATGAAGGGCCTGAGCTTGGTTCTCCTCGTGCTCCTCCTGATGCTCGCAGCCGGGGAGGGTAAGCAACAGATGCGTTTTGTTGTGTTTGATTTTTTGAGATCAAACCTTTCAAATCAGCTCTACCTGTTCAGGTGGATCTGGGGCTAATAATTCATAGTTTGGGCTTTTAAAACACGCGTTATATTAAATTATATGTTTTAATGCTACCACATACAACCTGCTTCCTGTCACCTACACTAACAAGCTAATTATTTATTTGATTTATTTCCAATTTAAAGAAACAAAGAACCTCTCTAATCCAGTTTGTGTCTGAAGTTGGAGCTGCAGATTTTCAGTTTAGCAGCATAGGCCTCCGTTTGGAAGCCTGTTTCTGCCAATGAAAAGAAATAAAAGATCCAAAGGTAAGTCGTAATTTCGACTTGGAAAGTTGAAATTATGACTTTGGAGGTTGAAATTATGACTTTGAAAGTCGAAATTATGACTTTGGAGGTTGAAATTATGACTTTGAAAGTCGAAATTATGACTTCCAAAGTCAAAATTATGACTTTGAATGTTGAAATTATGACTTTGAAAGTCGAAATTATGACTTTGAAGGTTGAAATTATGACTTTGAA